GATCCAATATGTTCTTATTATAAATATATTTAGAAATATTTGATGTTTTAAATTACTAGAGAAATTATTCATTTTTTTGGAAGGATTTTTATTTTTCTCAATAATGAGAACGAAAAAATTGTTTAATTTTATTATATAATTAATTTGTTATTTTTAATGTAACATTTATTATTTGTGTTTTAATATTACCTTTTTTATTTTTTTTATGTGTTATTTAAATATTTTTCTAGTGTTTTTAATTTTTTTTTGTTGTTTTCAATGTTTTCGGTGTTTACGATTTTTTTTTTTTAATTGATCGACAAATCACCTGATCACACTAATTCGAAAACGGCGAACATATGAAATCATTGTAACAAATACATGTACAGTCGCGTCGAAAAGTGACGCCCGATTTATTTATATTTAAATTTTATTTTCTGAATTTTACAATTAAAATGGTTCTTGCATTTTAAACTCCTAAAATTTAGAAACAAATATAAATTTACATGCAGCTCGAAATTTTTATATGTATTAAATCTTTTTTTGATCTAAAACATATATAAAAAAATTTTTGTACATTACAATTAAAATAGTTTATGGAAAATAAGTTAAAACCTTTTTCTTTAAAATTATATGAAACAATTATTATTAATATGTATATAACTTGAAATTATCTATTCTTTATATGTTTAATTGTAAAATTTGGATAAGGCGTCACTTACTGACGCTACTGAACTTATGTTGGAAATTTCCTTCAAGCAATCGATGCATATTCGTATGCTTGCAACTATGATATCCTTCTCGGTTTTCGGACCGCACTACTTATTTTTGGTAGTCATGCTGCTTTTAACACTTCAATATTATTTTTTTTAATCCTCAACGCTTTACTTTGTTTGCGGATTGCTAATTAATACTTTCTACATTAAGATAATTTTATTAATTGAGGAATAAATGTTCAACTTTTTAAGTAAATTGCAAGGATTAAGTTTGAAAATTCGATCCATATTATCTTTTATTATAGATCTCTTACAAATAAAAACATTTCTTTATCCTCTTTATCCTCTTTCCACCTCCAAGAGAACCCTTTGCACATTTTAACGAGTGTTAGATCTAAAAAAAATTAATAATAACGATAAAATAAAATCTTATATATATAACATCAAGGGAGAGAAAGAAAGAGAGGAAGAAAACTTTCTCCTTGGCAACTTTGATCCCGATTTTGATTTATGATTGAAAAAAAGAAAGAAAATAAATCATACGCTTTTGAAATTCGTTGAATATATTTCAAAACTTGAAATTTGAAACTTAATTGATAAACATATCTAGCGGCATTGATTACAAATCCAAATTAATATTTATATAATTAGGAATGTAAGGTGACTTGTTGTGAAGGATAAATATCCATTTTCCCTACATTAAAGCATGTTATTTTTAGGGTGTCATTTAGGCAATAATCTAAAAATATGTAGAATTCCTAAAATAAAAATTTTAAAATATTCTAACTAATCTATTTAGGTTGACAACGATAACGAACCTTAATTTTTACAGAAGCTAAAGCGTTCGTCATTAAACATTAAAATTTCCACACATGTGAAAGGCGCGAAAGACACTTATACCAAAGAAGGAAAACGCTTTAATAATTCGAACGTAATCAAATATCATCACGATATAATGGCATTATCCAGAACTAAATTTCCATAATACAAAATTATGCTAATGTTTGGATCAGGTTCGGATCATGAAAGAAGTTTAGTATTAACCAGTAAATTTCTTTTTCGTATCCTTAATTTAGATGAAATTCGTTTCATTTATTATTATTTTTTTTAAAAACAACTTTGAAATGTGTTACTTTTTATTTCGAACTTTTTTATTTAATTATATTAGAAGACAAATTTATCAATCTATGCATTTACACTTCAATAAATTGCACGTGATAATTTTTTTTTGCAGATTCACGGAATTTCTGAAAATTATTAATCATGTGCAGGTGGAAATTTTCAAGGTTAAATAAGAGAAAAATATAAAAATGATCAATCTGAAGTTTTGTCTTCTATTAAATGCAAATTGAATTTGTGATGAATTGAACTAAAGTATTATTATTAGAGATATATTAAATTAAATTACTTTTTTTCCTATTAAACTACAATCATTAATTATGAAAAAAAATAGAAGTAAATTATAAAAATATACATAATAAAAATGAATTTATTAATTTATCAAATAAAAAATGGTTTGAGGATTAATGTATTCAGTTGGGTTGGAATTAAGAAGCAATTGGGTAGGATTCAGCGATTGGATATGATTCAGCGATTGGATATCCTCGTTCTGCAATTGGGTAGGATTCAGCAATTGGGTATGATTCAGCAATTGGATATCCTCGTTCTGCAATTGGGTAGGATTCGGCAATTGGGTATGATTCAGCAATTGGATAACCACGTTCTGCAATTGGGTAGGATTCAGCAATTGGGTATGATTCAGCAATTGGATAACCTCGTTCTGCAATTGGGTAGGATTCGGCAATTGGGTATGATTCAGCAATTGGATAACCTCGTTCTGCAATTGGAGCTGCATTGATGGTAAGCGAGCTCAACAAAAGGAGTGCAAATGTGATTTTCATGGTTTCTTTATAAAATAATTTAGAGAATGAAAAATTTTTTTTTTGATTCTTTGAAATTTGCTATTATCGACTAGGTATGAAATCGTTAGTCTTTTATATGAAAATTAAGTTTTTCGAATTTTCGACCTTCCGAAAAGATAAATTATAATTTATGATTATCTCCTCGTGATGATCGACGCTAAAACTTTATGCAGACCTTTTGCTCCGAAAATCTGATATATACCGGATTTGGAAATCATATGGGACCTTTGCAATAGAAAAGGGGAAATGGCCAGAAAAAATAAAAATTGAATTAATGCTAAATCTGAACATATTTTGATCTAAATCATATTTGTCATATAAAGTAAAATTGATTTTTTTTCGGCTTTTACTGCAAAGGTCCCATATGGTGCCAAATCCGGATTATGATTCAAAAATTCTGACAATAAAAAAAAAAGTCAAATTTCAAAAAAATAAATAAATTATCATCACCTAAAAAGAAAATTGAATGAATGATTACCAGACTTCATTTATCGAAACCATCCCAGACTCCTGTTAATATCAATAATTTAAACGTGTCGATATTGCTGCGGATTTGCATATGAAATTTTGAACTGTGAAACTTTCTTACTATCACGGAATTTAAGGTTTCATTGATAAGAATAATAAAAAGTAGAATATAGCAAGATCAATTATTAATATTGGTTCAAACATCATGATCGCAGTTCACGTGTATAAATCTAGTACAAACGTGTAAGAATATCAAAATTTAGGCATAAAACGTAAACAATTGGGGTTTGTGCAAGGTTAGATACCTAATTTGAATAAAATTATAAACTTTGAGAAATAGTGTATTTGATTCTATCGTTTTTATAAAAAAAAAAAATTTTTTGCATAAAATATTATAAATTTGTAAAAATGTTAGAATAAATACATATTTCATTTGATTCATCATGTTGCGACTCTAAATTTGTCTCAAAATAAAAGATATTAAATAATAATTTCGGCCAACAATTAAAAATTAAGATCGTCAATATCGCTCCATTTTCATGGTACCGATGTTGTTACTGAAATTGATTTTCGTCTGAAGTTGGAATTCAGACGATCTTCGGTCCAACTTCAATTTCAGTCACAATAATAAGATCTTACAATCAAATATTCGAATATACTATCTTCAAACGGAAACCCTACCTCTGATATTTTTTGACCAAAAAGGTTTGATGAAAGATACGAACTGATTGGCCAAAAAATATCAGAATTATGAAAACCATCGAGTTGCAAACCACCTATGAAGGCGTTGCTTTTACTTTGATTTTACATCTCTTTTTCGTTACTGCGCTACACGATCAAACTTTTATTTTAATGAATTTTCAACAAATACATTTCTATTAAAAAAATAATTATCTAAAAAATCCGTTGCTTGGGCGACTATATAAGAGCATGCCAAGCTTGTGATTTTATTGATTTCGTCATTGATTGTGATACTCGAGAACGGCCTTTATCTTTGAAATTTTTTTTTATTGCATTTAATGCCACGTGAAACGCTGTGAATTTTTGAAATCATATTTAACATTTCCAATAATTATGCAGCCATCTAATGACGACACATTTGTTATTAAACCTTTCTTATATTTGGTACTGAAAATTAATATCATGACTTTTATTTTACAACCAAATTTATTTACAGATTTGGCAATCGATGATGATCTTTGGACATCGTCGGTATTGTGACTGAAATTGATTTTCGTCTGAAATTGGAATTCAGACGATCTACTAACCCCCCACGCTATGATTGGCTGGTATAATTGATTGATTATGCTTATTTATAACGTCCCATAGCGTGACAAATAAGCATCACCCACCGAAAAAAATTCTGTCCCTCAAAAATATAATAAAAATTGAAACATCACCAGTGTCACGCCGGTGACAAATCACCTAATACCTAACCCTAACCCTAACTAATCTCAATTATAACAGCCAATCATAGCATGGGGGGTAAATTAGTAAACCCTCTAAAATTGAGATTCCAGACACCCTTTTTGTTAAAAAATAATCATTTCACTAGAACATTTTAAAAAAATTCACTATTTTTTTTCTTTTTAATTCTTTTAATACAGCAAAATACAGATAGAAAAGGAACTTCCACCTCTACTAGTTACCTGTATAATTATTCTATTTTGAAGTTAAAAAGCGAATTTTAAATAAAAAAGTAAAAATCATAAAAATATTATTAATTAAAATAAATTGCTTATATATAGTATATTAGATTATAGATACTTCATATTACTTTATTTTAATTTATAAATACATAATTTTTAATTATCTAATTTATAACTAATTTGGACTATTTTAACTAGTGAGATACATTACAATCTAATATTAAAATTCGGATTCTATTTGAAGTTCAATTTCAGATATCTCAATTTTATACATTCTTGTATATAAAATTCAGATTCTATCTGAAATTCAATTTTAAATATCTCAATTTCAGATACTTCATATCTGAAATTCAAATATCTCAATTTCAAATGAATTCATGTCTAAAATTCAAATTCTGTTAGAAGTTTAATTTCAGGTATTTCAATTTCAAACAGTCTTATATCTGAAATTCAATTTCAGATATCTCAATTTTAGATAACCCTCATGTCTAAAATTAGATTTAATTAAAATTAATGAGTTACACAAAATTAACCAATAAGATCATAACTGAAATTGAAATTCAAATAACAAAAAGGATATCTAAAATTAAAATTCCAATTTCAGTTAACTAATCTTTGAATTTCAATTTCAAATACTCAAAGATCATCTGAATTTTAACTTTTGACGAAAATTAATTTTAGTCACAATATTATCAATTGATTTTTATTTTTTTTTAATTTTATATTTTTTTTTTTTATATTTCATTCTTTTTTTTTAGTTTTCAATATATATACATATTTTTTTCTTCAATTAATTCTTTTTTTTATTTACTAAATTTATTTTTTTATAATTTTTTTTATTTTATTGTAATTTATATTTTTTAAAATGATTTTTGATATTTGAAATTAATTTTGATATCTTAAATCATTTGATATTTGTTTAAAATTATTTTAAAAAACTTTCAAATATTTAAAATGAAATTTGTATTTCAAATAAAAATCCTAATCAAAAGTATAAATTTCTTAATTATAAATATATTTACTCTTTATTTATAATATAAACTGTTAATAGTATTTGATTACGCATATTCACTAATAGTATAGTAGAATATCAAAATTCATAAAACACTTAAAATTAGAAAATTGACAGAAAAATGTTCTTCTAAATTAAATTTATATTTTATTAATAAAGCTTATTATTTTCAACTAAGTTTAAATATTGTAAAGGTAAATGCTTTGAAATTATCTAATTGTATTAAAAATTAAATATTTGGTTTAATAATATTAAAATTAAATTTAATTATTTTGATAAAAATCTAATAATAAAATTATAGAATTTTGTAATAGTAATTTAAAATAAAAAAATAATATTTTTTATAATAAAAATTATTAAATTCATTTACTAGAATTTTATATAAGACTATTATTTGATTTTACTAAAAAAAATAAATAAAATTCTATATATTTAAGTTTAAAAAGTTGGTAAATATGTTATTTATAAATTTTTTTATTTCAACTTATTTATTATTTTATTTTTATTAAGTAATATTATATAGTAACTATTAAATTAAAGCAATTTTTTAAATAAGAAGATTTAGTTAATATAAAAAAGTAATTAAAATATTTGTAAAGAGAATGCTATTTATTTTATTCAAAATCATTTTACTGTTTTTTAAAAAAAATACTATTACTTTTTATTTAAATTTTTTAAAAAGGAATTTTGTTATTAATTGCTGGTAATGACTATCACTAGTATTTGTGTAACTCTATTTGAATTTTATTAAAATCAAAATTTTGAATTATATAATGTTACCTAATAGTCTAAAAAAGTATTTTGTCAAAATTATAAATTTTAACTGAAATTAAAGATATGATAAATAATATATAATAAATATAATTTTATACTCTATAATTCTCTGTTCTTAAAATATATAATAAAAATAAAATATGAAATATATGATATAAAATGATGAATAATTTATATATAAAAATTACACAATACTTATAATGATCATCACTAGTAATATATAGTAATTTTCTTTCAAAGATATTTATATATTTTTAATTTGATAATTTTTATTTATATATAGGGAATTTAGATATATATTATATAATATGCATAATATTAATATTATTTTTACTATATTAAAAAATTAAGAAATTAGCTATATAATGAAAATAAAAGACAGTTAATAGAAATAAAGAAATCTACAAATTTTGAGTAATTTATTTATAAAGCTACTTTTGTTACATGATCATGATCAGTAGTAAGAATGCTAATAGTTACGGTTATAACTGATCATAACTGTAACTGATATCAATCGGTTAAAGACTTCTGATCAACTGGTTGACTGATTAATTTTGACTGATTTTAATCAGTTCTGACTTGAGACTGAATAATCATATTTAAATATTAAAATATATTTTATATTAAATTTATAAAATTAATATTTTATTTTAATTATCTATAAATTAAAATTTTTAAAATTTTTAAAAAAAAATTAAAGTCTACATTAATGTTATATTACTAAATAAAAATGACAAAGTAGTTTTAAAAAATGCTATACTAGTATTGTTAAAGTAAGAATTAAAATCATAATATTTGACTAAATAACTTTCTATTAATCCCAAACTGCTCAATTATATTATTATTAGCTGATCAGTTAACTGATCAGTTAAAATCAGTCAGTTAACCAGTCAGTCAGTCAAAGGTCTTTGATTAACCATTGATTAACTATTACTTGACTATGATTGAACATTACTATCTCTAATCAGCAAAATGAACTAATAAAAAAATTTTTGACTCAAAGTAGATTTCTCTCTTTTTTACTGACTACCTTTCAAATAATAATTTTTACTAAAAAATTCTAAAGGTAAAAAATG